GAGAGAATATTCAATTTCTGTAAGAGGTTATGTTGTCACAAAGTTCTACGAAAGTATTTAATTGATTAAAAACAAGTACAAGGTGCAAGTTTTTCGTTTATAATATTCTATGATTATAATAATATCGTTTATAATTATTCTCACGTTTCTCTGTATATATGAGAGAGAATATTCAATTTTTATAAAAGGTTATATTGTCACAAAGTTCTACTAAGAGGTTATGTTGTCACAAAGTTTAACGAAAGTATTTAATCGATTAAAAACAAATAAAAAGTGCAGCAAGTTTCAAGAGATCGTTGCAAAAAGGAGGCTCGAATCTTCAACGCTTCAACAGATTTAGTCGGGAAAAGAATTTATTAACGTCTCCATAGTCATTTGAATCTTCAAGAACGAACGTATCATTGCTCTTCTACTTGGTACGTAAAAAAAATATTTAAAAAATCTTTGAAGAAAGCCAACTAATAAGACCAACCAGATTTTCTTTCGTAGTTTCGAGATTACACGCAATCTTTCATCGTGCGTGCGAATATCGTCGTTCACCTAAACAGCTTAACAACTTGCTTGGGTCGATCTGAAAACCAGAAAAGACGAGTTAACCCTCTCGTCTCGTTATTTTCAACTCTAAACACTTTCGTCCTTGACAAAAATTGTCCCCTTTCTTTTTTCCTTTGATGGAAAATGGTAATTAAGACACGTAGAACGGAGACGCGCGGCGGATTTCCAAAATTTCGGCTGGGATCGTACCTGAGCAAGCTTGCGGCGGCAGGGGGAAGATCAAGGTTGTCGACGACTTCCTTCGGGCAACTGCGCAGCCTAAACTTTGTGGCTTGAAGCTGCGCAACTGCTGCATGAAGTCCGAGCACTCCATCAGCGCCACGTCAGCGAAGTGAAGATCGCAAAGTATTTGGTTCTTGAACCTGCGGAGAAACAGAGGAAATTGATGATCCACTTTATCTTTAAGTGCGCTATGGGAAACACGTTTGAATTTTTGATCAATCGAACGTATCCGTCGTTTCTCCCATAACGAGAAATAATGGAAAAATTCCTGATACGATCTTCGATCTGGCCAGCGAAAGACCAGCGCGATTAAGAAAGTATAATTAATCTACGAGTGCGGAGAGATTAATTATACTGTCTCAGTTTGTCAAACATTCGTGAATGAGAATTATTTCCGACTCACGTTTCCCCTGGTAAGTTATTTTGTTTCAGATGAAACGCGTATCGGTTAGGAAATTATTTGTTTCGGCAGTCCAATTAAATTGTATGCTTTTATAGGTCGACGAGCGATAAAAATATCCCTCCTCCCTCGAGGGAGGACGCGCGAATAAAAGCTGCGCGTCTTTTTCATTCCTATTTAATAACTTTTTCGCAACAGTAGTAACATATTCTCGCGTTCGTCGGTTCTCTCTGTTACTTTATTATTAAACCTCTGGCAACAATGTGGCAACGTGAATCGACGTTTTAGTTACCAATTTGCAGTGACTGTGAACACAGGGTGAATGAAATTTTTTTCGAATCTGAGATTCTTCACCTCTCGAGATTTTGAAGATTTTTTTTTTAACGAAAACGTGTTACATTCAAAGTAATTTATTATTTTCTTGAGAATGAAGCTTCAAATGATTTTATTTCTACAAAAGATTTCTTCCCACCTATTTCTTGTTAATAAAATTCATTTCTGTAACATGAGCCGTACGAATTTGACGCCAGAACTACCAAAATGGCCAGAATGGTCATTTACAATATAAATTCACAATAGGTAATAACATATAATACAAATTCACAATTTACAACGTAAATTCGAATAGTCTTGCAGACTTGCAGATTTTTCAGAAATCTGAACTACATCTTTGAAGTGTAAAATATACGTTTTTTTAATTGGATTTCAATTTCTTCTGGTGCGATTTTCACTTTTCCGTTTTTGGTCGTCGGTAGTTGCAGTTTCTAATTTGAAATAAATTCTAAATTCCACGATAACGTAACGTAGCTGAAATTCTGATAATTTTGTCATTTAATTTTTGTGTGTTGAAAATTTCGTATGGTGTCCACTCACCGTCTAGCCCGTTTCTGATTGGGTCCCGTGAGATTCAGACCGCAGCTGTTACATTTTAGGCATTCCTCGTGGTAGTGGTTGTTGTCGTACAGCGGCGACGGTTCTTGAAACAATCAAAACAATACTTAATTAGTTTAACCATTCGACGACGAGTCCAAATGTAGCTAAAATATATTCATCGTTCGCCTAATTTTGATTCAGAAAATTTCTCGTAGAAAAATTTAAATTTTCCAGTGTAATTTTAATATGTAAAAAAGACGGCAAGTCAACTTTTTAAAATTTTCAAAATACTTAAATTTAAAATATTTAAAATATTTAATATTTAAAATATTTAATATTTAATATTTAAATATTTAAAATATTTAATATTTAAATTTAAAATATTCAAAATATTTAATATTTAAATTTAAAATATTCAAAATATTTAATATTTAAATTTTTAAAATATTTAATATTTAAATTTGAAACTTTCAAGAATTTGATTCAAAACTTTCTGAAATTTCCATTAATTGCGATTATCCGTCAGTATTCTGTTTTCTAAACAAAACAAGTTCAACTGATTAGATGGGAAAGTTTTCATCGCGAACTTGGAACTAGACCAGAGGAGGGAAGTTTCCGGGGCTAGTGGAGAGGGAAAGTTTGATGGCAATAACGCGAATTGAGAGTGGAATTCAATAGAGCGACCTGCCAGTTTCGAAAATTCGCCAAAGTGATCTCCGATTCACTTTGACTCGAGACTTCTCGGGCCTGGCACTTCTTTCATCGATAATGCAACTTCCCAAGAAATTATCCCATTGAAAGGAAGAAGTTGATGAAATTAGCACCGTACCTCCATCGGAAGGAAACGAAATTCCCATGGTTAATTCAAAATCAATCGAGCCGCCGTTTATAACTTGTCAGAGCTGTTAGATCGATTAAATTTCGATCGCGAGATTGCCGGAATTTATTAGATTCGTTAAGCGTCGATTCCCTCTCGAATTTATTCAAATTCCTTCCAGACGAGATCGTTCTAGGAGTTTTGACTTATCAATACTGCGAGTATAAATTTATTTACTCGTCGAAAACAACGAAAACGAAACTTATTTGTCCCTCAGTGTTCCCACTCGTCCAAGAAAGATTTTCGTTGCGCACAACGTCAGCAAGTAGTGTGACTCAATGTTTCACGCGACTATTTTATCTACATACACGCTATAGTTACGTGTAATTTTGCTTTCAACGAAAGTTATACGTGCATTGCAGCAGTTTTTTTCATTCGTCTATAAAAAGAATATTTTCCGCTGGCAGTAGTAAAAGTCAACGTCAGCAAGTAGTACGAGTCAATACATCACCCGTAGATCCTATCCGCGCCTGTATACATATATATATATTTCGCATGCATGCACATTTCTTTTCGTTTCACGCAACCTGTCGTTTCGACAAGCATCTGTCGAGTCATCTGTTCAGTTACAGTTTCATTCGGCTCGTCGTTAGTCAATTACGTTAGCAAAGGATGAACAGCTATAATCAGTCAGCTTTCCACGGACATAATTTCTCTCCTTTACTTTGGCATAGTAATTAATCTTTTTTTTTTTTTTTAGTTACTTATGATCTGTGTATCTTTTGTGTTTTCTTTCAAAAGCACATTACTCGACCTGAATGCAAATTAGGTATCGCATTTACAATCATAATTTGCTCGATGTACCAATCCATTATGAGATATCTTCGTCACGGAAATTCCAATTACTTTAATGAAACGAAATGCACAGATCCAAAGTCACGATTGTTAGTCACGAGGTACCATTTTTTTTTTTCTCGCGCCTCTCTCCTCGGTTTCATACTTAACGAGGGGTGTGGCCTCCTTCTCTCGACTAGTTGCGAGGAATTCCAGCGCATACTGACCGCGGAATGTCGACGTGAGGCAGAAAGAAGGCGCCAACGTTCAGACGCGTTTTTCATGACCTCGAGTCTAATTGCACGCACGCATGCACGCGAGCCTTATCAGGCCAGTGACCGAAAATTTACATTTCTATCACGTATATTTTATGGAACACTGGACCACTGATAAGTAGGTAGAATTAGAAATGGGGATGATTCAGAGGACGAGGGATTACTAGATTATTAGATTAACAAACTAAGGGTAATAATAATTTTTCACTAGTTTAATAAAATAATTAGAAAGCTTGAAACTAGTAATAATAATTAAAGCTTAAAACTAAGGTAATAATAATTTTTTACAAGTTTAATGAAATAATTAGAAAGCTTAAAACTAAGGTAATAATAATTTTTTACAAGTTTAATAAAATAATTAGAAAGCTTAAAACTGAAGGTAATGATAATTTTCCACAAATTTAATAAAATGATTAGAAAGTTTGAAACTAGTAATAATAATTAAAGCTTAAAACTAAGGTAATAACAATTTTTTACAAGTTTAATGAAATAATTAGAAAGCTTAAAACTGAAGGTAAAGATAATTTTTCACAAGTTTAACAAAATAATTAGAAAGTAAAATAAAGTAATTAGAAAGTTCAACAAAATAATTAGAAAAGAACAAGAAAGAAAAGGGACAAGGGTATTTTTTATCGTTTTTATCCGTGGAAATACGTTTCGTAAAACGTGAGATAATCTTCCCTAATTGGACGCAGGAGGAGTATAGATTAAACAGAGAGCTGTCACTTTAATTGGAAGCTGCGTTACATAATAGAAACATTTCTCACGAATGCAATGCAACAAACGTCGAGTGAAACGAAAACGTCCCATTAAAACGCGCCACGTGTACCTCTCGAGAACGATTATGTTTTAGCATAAATCATTGAGATACGTGTTTTAAGGAAACACGTAAACGTAAGAAATGTCTCTTTCGTGTCCAGCTGAGAGAGACGAAAAATCTTGAGAAATTGTGGCCGTAATTTTAGCTGAAATGGAATGCAGGAGTTGTGCAAGGTCCTACGTAAATCGGAGAATTTTATCGCAATTTGCATCTCAAGCTATAATTAACTGGGAATATCGCGGGGAAACTTCGTCTTAGATAACGTAACACACGCATACCGCATAGAGAACGATAAAATGCCACGGAACAAAGTTCCATTATTCGTCGCACGTAATACGACGACCTCGATAAATCTTTTCAAGGCCATTTTTCTCGCTCAAATGGTCCCATCGCGAGTGTTTTTAATGCAATCTACGTTTGTGCAAAATTGTCATTGTTGTCTTCACAGAGTGTTAACGACAACGTTCCACAATCAGTAAAAAAATTGGATCTAATTATAAGAGTGTGTTGTAATTGATAGAAAAAAGATTTTCAGAAACAAGAAGGAGAGACGACTGCGAGGAACAATGTTCCATTATTTTCTACACGTAACATAATGACCTTAATAAATCCTTTTTAAGACCATTTCTTTCTCATATAAGAAACACGAATGTTCTTATCACAATCTTCGTACATTGTGTAAAATCGTCATTGTTGTCTTTTGTTTAGGAATGTTAACAACAAAAGTTCCATTGTTTCAGTCGGCAAAAGTTTCGAAACTTTACGTTTATTGGACGAAACTGTGTTGTGTTTCGAAATTGTGTTGTTTTCGATAGGAAAACGATTTCGAAGAAGCAGATCATTACGCAGAACGACATAATTTCTTAAACGACGATCTCGATGAGTCTTTTCAAGGCCATTTTTCTCGCGTAATGGTGATGTTCCTTTTTTATCGTTCAATTGAAAAAAATTTAATCTAGTCACCGAAATGAAACGAAGTCGGCAAAAATTTCGAAACATTATTCATAATTCCATGGTAATTTATTGCAAAAATTACGAGGTCGTATCGTATTGTATGACAAATCTTTCGAAGGCCATTTTTCTCTGAACGACAGAAATGTTTTTATCGTTCAATTTAGCCGCCGAAATAAACAGAAGTCGGCTAAAATAAAAATTTCGAGAAACTCACTTATTATAATTTTTAATTATAATTTTGTAACATTTGTCGGGGAAGTTGGCGAAAATTACGAGGTCGTGTTGCTTTTCTGACAGAAAGAAATTTCCGAGGGGCGTCACAATTGAACGAAAGTGCAGATGAAACAGGAAACGCTTCCCTCGAACCGGAAAGGCCAGGCTGGATGAGACAGGAAGTGCCGTTGATGCAAAATGCCGTGGAGATGCACGGCTCGCCGGTTTAATCGATACGACTATTCGAGCAAAATGAACCGAGCTTGTCCTCTCTATCGCGTGCAAACACGAGACACGTGCACGCAGAGAAAGCACAAGTATAATACACAGACGTAGTCAGCTAGTTTAAGGAGTTTAACGTTTCCGTTATGAGCAGGAAGCGAACCTCGCGGGCTAATTCGCGTCGCGATGAATGAGATAAAGTTTGAAACTCGCGGCAAAAGGGCTGCGATAAAACCTGATTAATTAAGATTAATCATCCCCCGTTGGGGATGATAATAATAGCGTAATTCAACGGGACCGTCGTCTTCTGCGTGGAGGCAATTTTTCTGTGGCTTTCTTTAGTAAAATTATTCGCCGTGGTAGATAAACATGTTTCGTAACGCTTTGTTTCGTGTGGTACGTCTTTATGGTACTTGCAAATCTTGGCTTATAATTAGACGTACGTGTTTCTGAGATTTCTGGTTGAAATAAGTAATAATTTTAATTGAGATAAAGTTAATAAATAAGATAGTGACGATAAAGTTAATATAAAACTTGTAATGTGAAATTAATAACTGTAATAATGATAAGCTTAATAAATAATGACAGTAAACTTAATATAAAACTATTAATAGAAAATATTAATAACTGCAATAATAATAATAATAATAAACTATAATAAATATAGTATAATAAAAATGACAATAAACTTAATATAAAAATATTAATATAAAATATTAATAAACTTAATATAAAACTATTAATATAAAATATTAATAAACTTAATATAAAACTATTAATAAAAAATACTAATAAACTTAATATAAAACTATTAATAACTGTGATAATAATAATAAACTATAATACGTATAATATAGTATAATAAAAATGACAATAAACTTAATATAAAAATATTAATATAAAATATTAATAAACTTAATATAAAACTGTTAATATAAAATATTAATAAACTTAATATAAAACTCTTA